GTGTTCCTCCATTCTTTTAAATATCCACAACATGGATCGGTATAGTATGTAGTGCAGACATTCATGGGTTTCAGATGATGCACTGTTTGACTTTTTCCAATCCTGACTTCTCCCTCTACCAACATGCAAACCCACTAAACTCTAATGGTGAACATTGGTAAAGATTATACCTGCTAACAACCAGTTATTATGACACTGTTATATTAATCGTCACTGTGAGCGTGTCTACCTGAGCATGTAGTTAAAAGCATCTCCGTGTCAACATACAGCCTCACACAGGCACTAGCATGGCTGCAGACAACTGTTTTCACCTTGAATGCCTTCAAGGAGACGCTGTCTAAAAGTGTCTCACCTCTTCCTATGAGGGCAGGGTGGAAGGGAAACACAGCTGATCAAGCTTGGGCAGGATCCCTGCCAGGTGTTTTTATAGAGGCGAGGGACTTAACCACGCAACCGGCTTTTGCAAATGTGTCCTAAGTGAGTGGGCACCGTGATGGATTGACACTTCCAAACCCAGTCAAACCCTCCGTGAGCCGCCCACGGGGACTATCCTACAAGTACCAACAGCCACTCGAGACTGCACATACAATGCACGGCGATAATGCAATTAGTTTCGCGTCTATTTTGGTGTTAAGCATCTAAACAGGTGAAGATGGGTGGGTACAGGTGAGTAGGTGGGCAGCTAGGCAACCACAAAGCCTTTAGGCTGAGCAGTGTTTCCATGCCCTGTGAGTGCATGTGTGCGAATGTGTGAGCATGTGCAGTTTGAAAGGCGAGGATGACAGACAAGGTGGGGGTGGACAAAATTACTTCTGTATTAAGCCCGTGTGTGTGTGTGTGTGTGTGTGTGCGCACAACACCAGCTGGGTGTGCTATGTTTCACTAGCCAGCTACTTAAAGGACACACCTGGTGGGAAAAGCTATTCAACCTCTACGTCAAAAAAAAAAAGTGAAGTGTCTCAATTAAGTTATTACCATTTTCCCTTTTTGTTATTCCCTGTTGCTTAGTGATCCGTCAAACTGGAAATAATTCAGAAAAGAAGCTGAGGCAGTGAGAAAAAAAAGCAGTTCCTGTGTAGCCATGTATTTACAAAGCCAGTTAATGACAACTGTGGGTAAATTACAGACATAAAAACACGAGGTTGTTTGTAAGTGTGCAGAATATAAATGATGCCGCCCCAAAGGAAAACACAACTACAATAAACTAAAACATTATATACAGCAGAGTAACAATGGCAGTAACTATAATACACAGTCTTTGCATTCACATACTTCATGAACTACTTCACGTGTTTTCCAGAAATCTTTAAACATACATCTAATTCCAGGTTGTTTCATGCAATTAAGCATCATCATTAACAGAATGCATGCAGATGAGGATCTCTGTTAATTGTCATTCAAGATTTCTCTCTTAAGTTATATGTAGTTTCATTTAAATGCTAGTTTTGTTCTCCAGTAAAATGCATTGGGTGCATATTTGAGATCTAAAAACACAATAAAAAGTCTTTTCTTCACATCATAAGACATTTAAAAGCTGATTTTTGTTCTAAAAATGGTTGCAGCCTGCCTTGCTGGGGCTGCACACTAAATTGAACATTAATCAAGATGTCTGTTTTAGCTTCCCATAAGTAAATTAAAATGATTGACTGCAATGCTGACCTTTGAAATGCATGCTCGGGTCATAGAAAAACTTGGTTTCAACTTGGGTAAACATGGGTTGGGTGCCTTATGTCACTCTTTTCAAAGTAATTTCTGTTCTTGCTGAGTTGCCATATTGCATTAACTGAGTCTTCTCTTTGTGCAGCGACCTGGCTAGCGTCTACCTCAGCCTGGACGCTTTGGAACATTGGTGAACTGTAGATAAGAGATGTTAAGCAAGTGAGGCATTTCAGGAAGAATATTTTTTACACTTTGACAAGATGCACTGAATTCAGATGAAGAGGACTCTTGCTGTTGGTCTAATTTTGATGCAAAGCCATGCAGCACAACATAAAAATGAAAGCAGTGCTCTACTTAATTAAATATAAAAGAACAATAAGATATATTGTCCTTAGGGTAAATGAAAATCTGTGATCAAAACAACTGTGATTAGCATTTGGGCTGTGATCGTGTAGCAACTTGCAGTCCTCTTCTTTCTCATCTTTTCTGGAGCTTCACTTTGTTTCCCAAAAGCTACTTTTGATCAAAACAGGGAGCCAAAAAAGCCAAAACAGCATCGTGCCACAGCGCTTTTGGTGGACAAAAACATTCCACACAATACTGTTATTTAGGACAAACTGACCATCGCAGAGCAGTGGAACTTTGCTGGTATCAAACTGCAGCTCTGCTGAATGTTTCTGAGGGAGTATTCACTCGAGGAGCGACTTGGCCTTACAGGATTATTAAACTGATGCCTGTGGCTACAGTTACATAATTCCATCAGCTACTAGTTGTCAGTCTGGTTGCATAAAGCTGCAGAAACATTCTGCCTGTATTCTACGGCCAACGTGAATGTGTGACAATTACAACAGCAATAGAAATGCTGGTAGACCTGAGCAGCGAGTAATTAAAAGTAGAATATGCAAAGTAATACACTTATTTTTTTGTATGAGTTGAAAGTCACTTTACATCAACTTCTCTGACAAAAAATAAATAAGAATCTGTTTATTGTGTCAGTCACATGCCTGGAAAAAGCATCCTGTCCAATCATGGCAATCAGCCCTCCTGAGATGACTGGATGATCGGCCTGCACACCTTCTGTAAGTGAACTCTTTGAGCCTTCATCACGGCTTGGCAAACACCGAGCGCAGCCATATTTCACAGTTCAGCCTAAACCTACAAAATCTTGCACTGCTAAACCTGCCACATGATCACATTCATTTGTGTACTGACACATCTTTCAGTGTTTGCTGCCTGTCTGCATTGCAGCTATGAACAAGTGTCGTCTGATTGTATGCATGTTAGTCTTCATTGGCTTTGAACAGGAAGTTGTGCAATTTGCTGACCTAGCCATTAAAGGCGGGGTGATATGGCCAAAAATATTTATCACAATATAAATGAGAAAATTTGCAATAATGATATAACTGATGCTAGACAAAATACTTCAAAACTGCTTTATTGGTGCAAATAAAGCTATATTGTACCAAAAATAAATAGTGCATAAGCTGTAAATTGCTTGCTGACAATTTGTTTAATCAAAAGGAATTCCAAAAGAAATGGGCTGACAAATCCTGAGCATAACAATGCAAAGTATCCACAAAAGTAAATTTGAGTTGCTTTACAACATAAAAATTTGCAGCTGCTTTCTTTGGTCTCCCCACCACGTCAGTTGGTGGTGGAAGTGGGCGGGACGCACGGGCAGTACTTGGCGGCTAATGCCAGTTTAGGATAGTGGTCATGGTTCTGTTTTCACCATCGGGTGGCGGGCGAATATTCTGATCTCAAAATTGCTATCTGGACACAACCACAACAACCAAATATTCCAATATTCGGGTCCAGCCCTACTGTGTCGGTCGATGCACTGCGGTCGCCCTCCTCTTCGGTCGCCGTCATGCTTTGCTTCTGGCTCCATGTGCATTGGACCAGACGAAAACAACGGCACTGTGCATGCACATTTATGGTTATATTTCAATTTCATATCATCCCCTGACATTACACCGGTATTACCGTGCACGGTGTGATATGGCCCGTCAAATACCGGCCCTGACAATCGGCCAAGCTGGTAATTGATCAATCCCTACATTGGGGAGAGACCTGAAGGGAGTTGATTGTGTTTTTTTGATCGTATGCTTTTAAAATTTAGCTTACTCTTGTCGTTTCTACAACCCAACATACTCTTGCTATAACATTTCGGTGTTCATCTCATCGTGTTAAACTTCCAGTAGACGAACAGCTTAAGATCTAATCAGCGACATTCTGTAATC